GAGAGAGAGTGTGTGTTGCACGAGTATGTTTGTGTATGTGGGTGGGTGTGCAAAAGTGTGTGTGTGTGAAGTATGTGTATGTGTGAGTGTGTGAGTGTGTGTGTTGCACGAGTATGTTTGTGTATGTGGGTGGGTGTGCAAAAGTGTGTGTGTGTGAAGTATGTGTATGTGTGAGTGTGTGAGTGTGTGTGTTGCACGAGTATGTTTGTGTATGTGGGTGGGTGTGCACAAGTGTGTGTGTGTGTGAAGTGTGTGTATGTGTGAGTGTGTGTATGTGTGAGTGTGTGTATGTGTGAGTGTGTGTATGTGTGAGTGTGTGTATGTGTGTGTGTGTGAGTGTTTCTCTCCAATATGGACACGAATCACAGCATCATTCCTGCTGATGAACATGAATCCATGTTTTCTCTGCTCCAAAGGCAGCGTGAGTCACACACGTTTATCTCGCGCAGTGAGATATCATGCCCTACAGTGAGCAGTTTAAAAACCTTCGTCTGTACAGGAAACACAGTCTGGATGGATGGAATGATGAAGCACAGGAAGTTCGTCTGTACAGCAGACACTGAAATCATTGGTACAGTTCAGCGTTCTCAACTAGGTCCTGTAGTGGATCGTGACCCGCTCAGAGTCATGTGACGCGTCCGGAGGAGGACAGAGACGTCAGCGAGTCCGAACGCTTCTCCATGAACACAGATGAGACGGACAGAAGAGATGACATGAGAAAGAGGACACCTGGTGAAACTCCCAGAATCCTCGGCGGTGATGGAGCGTCCTGAACGTGAGATTCTCGGGCTAGTTCTTCTTCTTGACGTTGTTGTTGGAGGACAGTCTCTGTCGCGGCGTCGGCATCACGGCGCTCAGCGTCACTTTGCTCCGCGCGACCTCGAACAGTTTGGAAAAGACCTGAAACCAGAGACGCGTGTTAGTAACACACACACACACACACACACGTGTGATGGAGGTGAAGAGGTCAGAGGTCACTCTCACCTTCCGCGGAGTCCTCTGTGTGAGCATGGAGTGAGAAGAGAGCGAGACGTTACAGACACAGAACAAGAGTTTCAGAGCTTAACTTCAGCACTGAATGAGCAGCACAATCTTCAGGATCAATGAAAGATCAAATCTACAGTATAAAGGTTTATTACTCGAGCTGAGAAGTGTCTAAATCATCATCATCGAGGTGGTCTGATTCTGGGGAACCTACATGATGGCCAATTACAAATTTATACTGTTCGGCTCAAAATAAATAAATGGGGGATAAAAAAAAAAATATATATATAAAAAATTTTTTATCCCCCATTTATTTATTTTGAGTAAATATATATATATATATATATATATATATAAAATTAATAAAAGAAACAATAATTGTGAGAACATTTAAAAACATTCAGTGTTTTTAACACCTACCTTAGAAAGTAAAAAAAAAAAGAAAAAAGTTCAACATAATAAATAAAGTTCAAATATAAATAAAATCATTTAAAAAATAGAAATAGATCGTTAAAAACATTCAGTGCTTATGACACCTGCCTTAGGAAGTTTACCTGGGGAAACAAGGGTTCAAAATAAATTCATAAACTTAAAATATCCATATAAAAAAAATCAAATACATCATAATAAACAATAATAACAGTGTGAAAATGTAAAAACATTTAATATTTTTGACACCTGCCTTAGAAGGTTAACTGGGGGGAGGGAGGTTAAAAATAAAAATATAAACAACAAAAAACAAAAACTGAAAAATAATATAATAAATAAAAATAAATACTTTAATAAAATAAAATAAAATATACAATAAAATAGAACCAATAATAACATTAAGTTCCTTTGACAGCTGTCTAAGAAAAAGATAAAAAAAATTAAAAATAGATATAAATATACACAACAATGAATGGGCAAATAAATAAATATAACAGAAACAATAACTGTGAAAATGTAATAATGTTTAGTGCTTTTGGCATCTGCCTTAGGTTTTTTAATGTATTTATTTTAAAAAATTTTTTCCTGAGTAAACTTTCTAAGAAAATATATAACATTATATAAACAATAATAACCATTTAAAGGTGACATATGATGAAAATCTGAGTTTTCCAGGTTGTAAGTGCTATAATCAGGTCCCCGGTGCATCTACCAACCAAGGAAACATGAAAAAGATGAACCCAGTAACTTTGTTTTGGGAAGCCTTTTTCTGCAAGCGTCTGAGAAAACCAGCGCGTCTGATTTCGCTCCCTTGGTGACGTCACAAAGGGATCTCATTATAATATTACCGCCCCTTAATCTGTAAGTTTCCACCCACGGCGTCGCCATTTTGATTTCACAAGCAACAACTGTGTAGCAGCTCTAATGCCATGACGAACATTTTGAGCAAAACATGCTAACTGTTCTGTGTTTGGCTGCACAGGGGGCATAATATGTCTCCTTTAAAACCTTTAGTGTTTTTAAAACAGCTGGATGGGAGACAGAAGTGGGGAAGACGAGAAACTGCAGAATAAGAGTCCTGTTGTGCTGCACTACAGACAAACAGGAAGGAAGCAGCTCTTGTGCTGACGATGTGATACGCACCTGCTCCCACAGGGTTTCTGCCAGCCGGTCGATGAAGCAGCCCAGCTCTCTGAACTCCCCGGAGTATCTGACATAGACCCAGACGCAGAGCGAGAGCAGCGCCAGGCCCATCAGCAGGTTACACAGCGCCGCCGCAGGGCTCAGACCCACGAAGCCCGTCACCACCGACGCCACGTACATGACGAACATCACGGCGAACAGCGTGGCCGGCGTGCGCGCCGCGAAGAAAATGTTCTTCCCGTCGTTGTGTTTGAGGAAGCTGGCGTAGGCCTCGTCGATCTCCTGCTCCAGCTGCTCCTGATAGCGGAGGCAGAACTCCTCGCCGCCCATCTTCTTCACGCCGCGGAACTGACGCACACAGCTCTGCTTCAGCTCCTCGTGACTGCGCTCCAGATCCGCCGGAGACATGTAGGGCCTGTCTCCACCGCACACCTGCAGACGGGAGAACACGCGTGTGTCACGGGCGTCACAGCCGAGAGATCACGTGATCAGGTGAGAGACGTACCTGCTCCATGCTCCTGCTGTACGAGTCTTTCGCTCCTGCTACAGCGGCCAGGTTATTAGCTTCAGCCGTCGCCTGCGGCACACGACAGACACACAGCATCTATCAGCCAACTAACATCCAATCAAAACCTCCTGCTGTTTGCAAACCGTCTGAAGATCTGGTTAAGCTACGCATTTCTTCTTGCACTTTGGTGAATATTTCTCATATGTGACCCTGGAGCACAAAACCAGTCATAAGGGTCAATTTTGTGAAATTGATATTTATGCATCATCTGAAAGCTGAATAAATAAGCTTTCCATTGACGTATGGTTTGTTATGATAGAACAATATTTGGCTGAGATACACATGCAACGTTTCAACACACGTGTGTTTTGGAAAGCTTTTGGGTTGGGGTCAAATTTTTTTGCAAATTTTAATTAAGACTTTTGTTCTATAATTTAAGATTATTTTATGGCCTCACATTGGATCAAAGTGAATTTCAGGACCGGTGGGCATCCTGCTTCATAACATCTAAAGATATCAATGAGATGGAAATATTAACAAAAGTTTCAATAACAACGTCTATAATAATGAAAGATTTCATGGAGCTCATGACTACATGAATGATGCATGTAGGACCCCAAACATTTAGATTTTTTTCACAAATTCCATGTTTTCCGTTTTAATTTTCCTACATTTTAAACAAAATTTTAACTAAACTGTAATAACTCAAAAAGGATGTTGAATAAATTGAATTCATCAACAATAACTAATTTTGTGTTTGTTAAAATGTTTGTGGATTTTCTGGATTATGTTTCATGATTTAGTACAAAAATCAGTGATAATCTAATGGATGCATGAAACTTCGAAAAACGAAAATGTAACAATTTCTTAGATTTTTTTGGCAAACAAAGTGCTGAGGCTTACAGTTTAAATTACAACATGGACTAAAAATTGTGTTATCGTGTGAGATATTCTTTAAAAATAAAGTTTCAATAAAGTGTATTATTACGACTCTAAGAAGTACATTCTGTTGCACAACAGTCATAACTTCTTCAAGTTAAACTGCACGTAACCGAAGCATGCGAGAGACCTTCTAGTGGGCCAAACTGATGTTTTCTATGAGACGTGACAATCACGTCTGTACCTGTAACATGGACTTGGGATGCGGCAGGTCTTCACCCTGATAGATCTTCATGTAGGCCTGCGAAAGAGAAACACACGGTCAATCCCAGCAGGCATCTGAACGATGGAGACGCAGTGGAGAGGTGTGTCTTACTCTGAAATACTGCAGCAGATCTCGACACGTGACTTTAGAGCCGCTGATCTCCTTCTCCATCAGATTCTCAGGAGCCAGAAGCAGCGGCACCAGATTCACCAGCTCCTTCTTGAACTCCTCATCGATGTCTACACACACACACACACACACACACAGACACACAGACACCAGACGGATGTTTACTGATCATCTTGGTTCATACGCTAATGCTAATTTATATTTCAGTGATCAATAACACTGGCCTGCATCATATTTGCTGAAACCCAACACTTGTTTCTTATTAATTTTAGGTGCAGATTTCAAAAATAGTGTCTGTTTTGCATGAGCATGTCACACTTTCTCACTAGATATGATGCATTTTGTAGTATTTGCACTTTCACAAGCCGTTGTGCGGTGAAGAGTCTTGTATTCTCTCGTCATCAGCAGACAAACTGCTTCAAAGCAGTGCAGTGGCAGCAGTGACGCAGCGCTCTCACCTCGCAAGCGGCCGTCGAAGTGTGGGTTGGTGGCCACTTTGAGGCCGGGGGGCGGCAGCAGGAAGCAGCTGATGCTGGAGAAGCAGGAGTGGATGTGCTTCCTGACGTTCTGCAGCTCTTCGTGCTGATTCTGTTTGACCTGAGAATCACGGCATAATTCAGCTCACGTGATGCGTGATAAAGAGCAGGAGAAACCAGATACCTGCGGCGTCATGTGACCCACCTGCAGCCTCTTCTCCAGGAACTTATTTCCCCCATCCAGACCGTAAGCGTGTTCGTACGGGTAACTCCAGTCTCGAATGAGAAACATCAGCGACTGCAGACCAGCACAGACACACGACGTCACTGCAGCGTCTCTCACACACACACTCACACACACACTCTTTCAGAGACACGCTCACTCACTTGCACAATCACATGCTCACACACACTTGTTCACTCACTCACACTCACACAAACACACTCTTGCTTGCACTCGTGCACACTCACTCACACAAACACACACATCTTGCACACTTGTGAACGCTCACTCACTCACACTTACGCACACTAACTCACGCTCAATTATACTCGTGAACACACTCACTCATAAAACTAGCTCACACTGACTAGTGAACAGTAACTCCCACTTGCACGTGCAAACTAACTCACGCTCACACCCGTGCACACACTCACTCACACTTGCACACACACACACACAAACTCATGCTCGCTCACATTGTGCCCTCACAAACACACTCGCTCACTCACAAACACTAACTCATGCTCGCTCACACTCGTGAACACACTCGCTCACTCACACTTGTGTACACGCTAACTCACGCACTCCTGAACACACTCACTCATAAAACTCGCTCACACTCGCTCACTCACACTTGTGCGCACACACTAACTCACGCTCACTCACTCGGGCACACACTTGCTCACGCTCACTCGTGCACACACTCACACTTGCACACACACACCAACTCACGCTCACTCACACTCGTGCACACACACTCACACTTGCGCACGCACACACAAAAACTCATGCTCGCTCACACTCGTGCACACCCTCACTCGTGAACACACTCACTCACATTTGCACACACACAAATTCATGCTCGCACACACTTGCTCACTCACTCGTGCACATGCTAACTCACGCACTCCTGCACACACTCACTCATAAACCTCGCTCACACTCACTCGTGAACGAACTCACTCACATTTGCACACACACAAATTCATGCTCGCACACACTTGCTCACTCACTCGTGCACATGCTAACTCACGCACTCCTGCACACACTCACTCATAAACCTCGCTCACACTCACTCGTGAACACACTCACTCACATTTGCACACACACAAATTCATGCTCGCACACACTTGCTCACTCACTCGTGCACATGCTAACTCACGCACTCCTGCACACACTCACTCATAAACCTCGCTCACACTCACTCGTGAACACACTCACTCACATTTGCACACACACAAATTCATGCTCGCACACACTTGCTCACTCACTCGTGCACATGCTAACTCACGCACTCCTGCACACACTCACTCATAAACCTCGCTCACACTCACTCGTGAACACACTCACTCACATTTGCACACACACAAATTCATGCTCGCACACACTTGCTCACTCACTCGTGCACATGCTAACTCACGCACTCCTGCACACACTCACTCATAAACCTCGCTCACACTCACTCGTGAACACACTCACTCACATTTGCACACACACAAATTCATGCTCGCACACACTTGCTCACTCACTCGTGCACATGCTAACTCACGCACTCCTGCACACACTCACTCATAAACCTCGCTCACACTCACTCGTGAACACACTCACTCACATTTGCACACACACAAATTCATGCTCGCACACACTTGCTCACTCACTCGTGCACATGCTAACTCACGCACTCCTGCACACACTCACTCATAAACCTCGCTCACACTCACTCGTGAACACACTCACTCACATTTGCACACACACAAATTCATGCTCGCACACACTTGCTCACTCACTCGTGCACATGCTAACTCACGCACTCCTGCACACACTCACTCATAAACCTCGCTCACACTCACTCGTGAACACACTCACTCACATTTGCACACACACAAATTCATGCTCGCACACACTTGCTCACTCACTCGTGCACATGCTAACTCACGCACTCCTGCACACACTCACTCATAAACCTCGCTCACACTCACTCGTGAACACACTCACTCACATTTGCACACACACAAATTCATGCTCGCACACACTTGCTCACTCACTCGTGCACATGCTAACTCACGCACTCCTGCACACACTCACTCATAAACCTCGCTCACACTCACTCGTGAACACACTCACTCACATTTGCACACACACAAATTCATGCTCGCACACACTTGCTCACTCACTCGTGCACATGCTAACTCACGCACTCCTGCACACACTCACTCATAAACCTCGCTCACACTCACTCGTGAACACACTCACTCACATTTGCACACACACAAATTCATGCTCGCACACACTTGCTCACTCACTCGTGCACATGCTAACTCACGCACTCCTGCACACACTCACTCATAAACCTCGCTCACACTCACTCGTGAACACACTCACTCACATTTGCACACACACAAATTCATGCTCGCACACACTTGCTCACTCACTCGTGCACATGCTAACTCACGCACTCCTGCACACACTCACTCATAAACCTCGCTCACACTCACTCGTGAACACACTCACTCACATTTGCACACACACAAATTCATGCTCGCACACACTTGCTCACTCACTCGTGCACATGCTAACTCACGCACTCCTGCACACACTCACTCATAAACCTCGCTCACACTCACTCGTGAACACACTCACTCACATTTGCACACACACAAATTCATGCTCGCACACACTTGCTCACTCACTCGTGCACATGCTAACTCACGCACTCCTGCACACACTCACTCATAAACCTCGCTCACACTCACTCGTGAACACACTCACTCACATTTGCACACACACAAATTCATGCTCGCACACACTTGCTCACTCACTCGTGCACATGCTAACTCACGCACTCCTGCACACACTCACTCATAAACCTCGCTCACACTCACTCGTGAACACACTCACTCACATTTGCACACACACAAATTCATGCTCGCACACACTTGCTCACTCACTCGTGCACATGCTAACTCACGCACTCCTGCACACACTCACTCATAAACCTCGCTCACACTCACTCGTGAACACACTCACTCACATTTGCACACACACAAATTCATGCTCGCACACACTTGCTCACTCACTCGTGCACATGCTAACTCACGCACTCCTGCACACACTCACTCATAAACCTCGCTCACACTCACTCGTGAACACACTCACTCACATTTGCACACACACAAATTCATGCTCGCACACACTTGCTCACTCACTCGTGCACATGCTAACTCACGCACTCCTGCACACACTCACTCATAAACCTCGCTCACACTCACTCGTGAACACACTCACTCACATTTGCACACACACAAATTCATGCTCGCACACACTTGCTCACTCACTCGTGCACATGCTAACTCACGCACTCCTGCACACACTCACTCATAAACCTCGCTCACACTCACTCGTGAACACACTCACTCACATTTGCACACACACAAATTCATGCTCGCACACACTTGCTCACTCACTCGTGCACATGCTAACTCACGCACTCCTGCACACACTCACTCATAAACCTCGCTCACACTCACTCGTGAACACACTCACTCACATTTGCACACACACAAATTCATGCTCGCACACACTTGCTCACTCACTCGTGCACATGCTAACTCACGCACTCCTGCACACACTCACTCATAAACCTCGCTCACACTCACTCGTGAACACACTCACTCACATTTGCACACACACAAATTCATGCTCGCACACACTTGCTCACTCACTCGTGCACATGCTAACTCACGCACTCCTGCACACACTCACTCATAAACCTCGCTCACACTCACTCGTGAACACACTCACTCACATTTGCACACACACAAATTCATGCTCGCACACACTTGCTCACTCACTCGTGCACATGCTAACTCACGCACTCCTGCACACACTCACTCATAAACCTCGCTCACACTCACTCGTGAACACACTCACTCACATTTGCACACACACAAATTCATGCTCGCACACACTTGCTCACTCACTCGTGCACATGCTAACTCACGCACTCCTGCACACACTCACTCATAAACCTCGCTCACACTCACTCGTGAACACACTCACTCACATTTGCACACACACAAATTCATGCTCGCACACACTTGCTCACTCACTCGTGCACATGCTAACTCACGCACTCCTGCACACACTCACTCATAAACCTCGCTCACACTCACTCGTGAACACACTCACTCACATTTGCACACACACAAATTCATGCTCGCACACACTTGCTCACTCACTCGTGCACATGCTAACTCACGCACTCCTGCACACACTCACTCATAAACCTCGCTCACACTCACTCGTGAACACACTCACTCACATTTGCACACACACAAATTCATGCTCGCACACACTTGCTCACTCACTCGTGCACATGCTAACTCACGCACTCCTGCACACACTCACTCATAAACCTCGCTCACACTCACTCGTGAACACACTCACTCACATTTGCACACACACAAATTCATGCTCGCACACACTTGCTCACTCACTCGTGCACATGCTAACTCACGCACTCCTGCACAGCCACTTTGAGGCCGGGGTGCGGCAGCAGGAAGCAGCTGATGCTGGAGAAGCAGGAGTGGATGTGCTTCCTGACGTTCTGCAGCTCTTCGTGCTGATTCTGTTTGACCTGAGAATCACGGCATAATTCAGCTCATGTGATGCGTGATAAAGAGCAGGAGAAACCAGATACCTGCGGCGTCATGTGACCCACCTGCAGCCTCTTCTCCAGGAACTTATTTCCCCCATCCAGACCGTAAGCGTGTTCGTACGGGTAACTCCAGTCTCGAATGAGAAACATCAGCGACTGCAGACCAGCACAGACACACGACGTCACTGCAGCGTCTCTCACACACACACTCACACACACACTCTTTCAGAGACACGCTCACTCACTTGCACAATCACATGCTCACACACACTTGTTCACTCACTCACACTCACACAAACACACTCTTGCTTGCACTCGTGCACACTCACTCACACAAACACACACATCTTGCACACTTGTGAACGCTCACTCACTCACACTTACGCACACTAACTCACGCTCAATTATACTCGTGAACACACTCACTCATAAAACTAGCTCACACTGACTAGTGAACAGTAACTCCCACTTGCACGTGCAAACTAACTCACGCTCACACCCGTGCACACACTCACTCGTGAACACACTCACTCACACTTGCACACACACACACACACACAAACTCATGCTCGCTCACATTGTGCCCTCACAAACACACTCGCTCACTCACAAACACTAACTCATGCTCGCTCACACTCGTGAACACACTCGCTCACTCACACTTGTGTACACGCTAACTCACGCACTCCTGAACACACTCACTCATAAAACTCGCTCACACTCGCTCACTCACACTTGTGCGCACACACTAACTCACGCTCACTCACTTGGGCACACACTTGCTCACGCTCACTCGTGCACACACTCACACTTGCACACACACACCAACTCACGCTCACTCACACTCGTGCACACACACTCACACTTGCGCACGCACACACAAAAACTCATGCTCGCTCACACTCGTGCACACCCTCACTCGTGAACACACTCACTCACATTTGCACACACACAAATTCATGCTCGCACACACTTGCTCACTCACTCGTGCACATGCTAACTCACGCACTCCTGCACACACTCACTCATAAACCTCGCTCACACTCACTCGTGAACGAACTCACTCACATTTGCACACACACAAATTCATGCTCGCACACACTTGCTCACTCACACTCGTGCACACGCTAACTCAAAACACTCACTCGTGAACACACTCACACTTGCGCACACACACCAACTCACGCTCACTCACACTCGTGCACACACTCTCACACTTGCGCACGCGCACACACACAAATTCATGCTCGCACACACTTGCTCACTCACTCGTGCACATGCTAACTCACGCACTCCTGCACACACTCACTCATAAACCTCGCTCACACTCACTCGTGAACACACTCACTCACACTTGCACACACACAAATTCATGCTCGCACACACTCGTGCACTCGCAAACACAGTCGCTCACTCACACACAATAACTCACGCTCACTCACACTCGTGATCACACTCGCTCACTTACACTCATGCACACGCTAACTCAAAACACTCACTCACGAACACACTCACGCTTGCGCACACACTAACTCACGCTCACTCACACACACTCGTGCACACATTCGCTCACTCACTCGTGAACTCACTCACACACACACTAACTCACACTTGCTCACACACATACTCCCTCACTTGCGCGCACATCATACCTGGAAGGGTTTCAGGTAGATCTCCTCCATGGCCAGTCGACCGTACTCTGTGAAGAGCTGAAGAAGCAGAAGCACACATTATAATACAGAGCATATTTGAACACTTGAGTCACTTCATTCTGTTTCTAATGCAGTGACATGACAACATCTCAAAGGATTCATGATACAGTGACGCACTTAGAACAGGTCTGACATGCTGAAGATCTAGTGCTGATAATGTGAAGTACACCTGTGACTGCTGTTCATCATCTAATCCATTTCTCAAAACTCTACACACAACATGCAAAACATCACATCTTGCAAAAGCAAACACTTCTTTGAAAACTATTTTAACTCTTCTAAAAATTGTATTTTTGCATAGTAACTCTACACACAAACATAAAATAATTAGCCACATACACGCCAAACTACACATACTGTACATGCATATGCACAAATACACTGAATCTACAGTATGTATGACTGATGAATTTTACACAGTTATGCAACTGAACCGAATCAATACTGAACTGACTCGAGCTGTAGAATGATGTCTAAGTGTTTTCACACATGATCACTGTGTGTAGGTCATCAGTAAATGAGTGTGGCATTTAAATGGCAGTGTTTCCCAAATTAAACAAAAGAGCTGTTAGTTTCAAATGATGTGTGTAATGTAGAGAACTGTGTTTAGAGTTTTTTCATTGAGCAGCGCATCTCACCTGAAGATGCTGCAGATCGTCTTCTTGAACGTTTTGGGACAAGTTATAGACCTGCGCATAAAAACAGGAGCATCAGGACACTGCATGCTCTCTCAGCGACGCACACGTGACGCGTGTCGTACCTGTACGGAGCTGGTCATGGTGCTGAGGGCGAACAGTGTGGCGCAGTCTTTGATGGTGGACTGACTGTCAAACGCTCCCTGCGTGTCCAGAAGCAGCACAGCCACCTGCGGACACACACACGGTCACGGGTAACTGAGCCAGAACACGCCTGACCGCACACACACACAAACACAGACTCGAGCTGTAGAATGATGTCTAAGTGTTTTCACACATGATCACTGTGTGTAGGTCATCAGTAAATGAGTGTGGCATTTAAATGGCAGTGTTTCCCAAATTAAACAAAAGAGCTGTTAGTTTCAAATGATGTGTGTAATGTAGAGAACTGTGTTTAGAGTTTTTTCATTGAGCAGCGCATCTCACCTGAAGATGCTGCAGATCGTCTTCTTGAACGTTTTGGGACAAGTTATAGACCTGCGCATAAAAACAGGAGCATCAGGACACTGCATGCTCTCTTAGCGACGCACACGTGACGCGTGTCGTACCTGTACGGAGCTGGTCATGGTGCTGAGGGCGAACAGTGTGGCGCAGTCTTTGATGGTGGACTGACTGTCAAACGCTCCCTGCGTGTCCAGAAGCAGCACAGCCACCTGCGGACACACACACGGTCACGGGTAACTGAGCCAGAACACGCCTGACCGCACACACACACAAACACACACACACGGAGCAGCTCGAGCCACAGAATGAGTGAAAATCACAGGACCGCCTGACACAGGAAAACAGCACTAGATAATGAGGAAAAACAGAAAAAGATCACAGTGTACTGCTGCAGGCAGTGGCCAGGGAAGAAGCCTACTTCAACATGTTAAAATAAGTTAAATATCTGAAATAATATAAATGGTTAATATTTTTTTGAATGATTACAAATGTTTAATGATCACTTCACTAATAATACACCCACATTAAACTCAAATTCACTGATTCAGTATCTTATTTCATGCTTTAACAGTTGAATTTTCAACTTTTTAAAGCATTAATGATTCATTATTATGTCACTTGTGAAATGGTTATTTAACAATTGCATTGAGTCCTGCTGCCGTTTGTTTAAAAAACAGTTTTTTTAGCACCAGCCGCCAGTGGTTGCAGATTAAAAAAATATATATATATATGAATGAGGAAAAATATCAATTAAAAAACATGTATAAAAAAAAATTCTAAATAAAAATATAAAAATATACAAGAATAAATTTAAAAAAAATAAGTAATTAAAATAAGTAGAGAGAGAAAAAAAAATTACAAAAAAAATATATTTTTATTTTTAAAAAGTAAAATAATAATAATCAAATTAATTAATTAATTAAAAAGTACATAACAATAAATATAATAATAAAAATATAAAAAAATAAGAATAAAAAATAATACAAATTAACAAAATAAAATATAAAAATAAACAAATGTAAATAAATCTACAAATGAGTAAAAATTATAAACAAAAAATTATAAAAATTAAAAAATATTCAAGCAATAAATAATAAAATAAAAAATATATATAAAAATAAACAATATTTCCATTTGACTGGATTACTTCACTTTCACTCGAGAATCACTGAAAACAAATACACACCGCTGTGTATCATAAATGTGTTGAATGAACATAAATATCAAAATAAAACACACAAAAAGATGAAGTATTGTATGTGTGTAGCTGCATGTCACGTGACCATGTGTTGGTGGTGTGTTTCAGACGCTGTGAGCTTTACCCTGCTTCCGTCGGGTTTCTCCACCACAAACACGTGGCTCCAGGCCTGAATGCCGGTGGTCTGGCGCTCACAGCCGCCCCTCCAGGTGAAGCCCGTCAGCGGCTCGCCCGTCCCACCCAGCCACGCGTCTGAGTCCTGAGACAGACACACAGCATCACAGCTCGCTTCATTGTGTGGGTCTCTCAGCTGATGTGTCCTGTATGTTCAGTCTAAACTCAACAGCACTCTCAACAGCAAAACAAGAGTTTCAGAGCAACACAAAACATCAGTGTTTCACAGTAAAGCGGCTGTGATGGATAGTGAATGGTAATC